ACACAAAGTAACCCTAAGTCTATATTGTATGTACATCAAATTCTAGAAATAGCTTATCTGCAGTAACAAGCAGATCCATGGTCCTAGGGTGGCAGGGTCCTGGTGGGTGAGTTGGAGAGCAAGTACTATTGTGACTTTTATTAGGGTGGTGGCTTCATAGTGGATACAGAAGCCACACTGAGAAACTATTGGTCACCCCTAAACACATGCAGTTCACTGTGTGCTAGTCACACTTCAATGAATCTGTTTTAAAGAAGGACTTCAGGTCCTCAGATCAAACCAAGGATGGGGAGGAGGCATTAAAGTCAGAGGATCAAGAGGAAGGTCAAGACTGACACATGGAAATGTCAAGAGACCAACAGGCCACCGATGGCCCTGAGGCATCTGTCCTACCCCAGCTCCCTGCTATGAAGGCAACAGCATGTACCTCTGTGTGGTTTAATGTTCAAACGATCAGGCTATTTCAGCAAGCACAGCATGGATGCAGGGGCTGCTCCCCTTTCTCACAAGTTCCCTGTAATTCTTCCTCACTGGGCACCTGCTTTGAGTCACCTAGTCTTCAGCTCTAAAATAGGAAGGCCCCTCTACCCTGGGAACCTGATCCTGATGGTCCCTAATGGAGATAGGACACATGTCCACTGGAATAGGATGGATGGTGGTGAGCCCCTCCCCTCCAGAAAACCCTAAACCACCTCGCCACACCCTTCCATTCCTCCCCTATGTCTCTGCAGTCCCCTGGCCTGTCTCCCCAGATTGGAGGCCTTGGTCATCTTCTCTCCAACTGAGGACCCCAGCCCACCCACACCACAGTGTCCACTCTGTCTCTGTGGTCCCTCAGAGACCTTGGTCATCTTCTCTCCACCTCTGACAGTCCACATTTTTACGTAATTAACAGAAAATTCTCACCTAGGCTGCTCAAGACTCTCCCCAGCCCCTTCAAAACTATAACTTGGAATACAAAATCAGGATCTTGATGCTGACCAGAACCTTGACAGTCTTTATCTGGGAAATAAAATGCCAGGAAGAGGCTTCTGGGGGCCCAAGGTGATCTTGGGTAAGGGATGAACACTGAGCACCATCCAACAGACAGGATGCCAACATCTGCTCTGACATTTGGGGATGTTCTTCTGTTCGAGGGAAAAACTACTGTTGTTTTTCCTATTTGTTTGCTCTTTCATTTTTTCCACCCACATTCGTGGGTGTGCTGTAGTTGTAGATAATTATGGAACCTGTTGTTACATATCTGTACATGCACACAATATAATTTGGCCATTATCACTTCCTAGTACTTCCCCTCCCTCCCAACTACCTGCCCCTTGGTCTCTTTCCTCTATCAATCTCTCCTTTATGAGATCTTTCCCATCTTGCATTTCCACATATGAGAGAAAACATAAAACCTTGACCTTCTGAATTTGATTTATTTTGCTTAAAATGATGGTCTCTAGTTCTATCCATTTTCCTGCAAATGACATAATTTCATTTTTCTTTATGGCTGAATAAAATTTCACTGTGTATATATACCTCTTTATCCATTCATTTGTTGATGGACACTGTAACTTGGAGAGACTTAGTAGTTTACAAAAATCCATAAAGATAGAAGAATCTGAGATAGTGAATCTGTAAATTGGGAATGATCCTACTTGATTGTCCCAGCCTGCGGCTCTTGGGGTTTACCTCTGGTGGAGGATGAATTCAGGAGCCTGTGGTGTGGGCTCTGTCATCAGGAAGCTGTTCACCTCCTCCAGCCACCACTTGTGCCTGGACCCTGCTCCAGGTACATGCTCTGGAGATTGCTGCTAAGTGGGATGGTAGAACCAGCAAGCAAAGAAATTTCACAACCTGCTGGAGGGAGGAAGAAGCATGGTCCATATGTGGCACAACCATAGCCTCAAGTAGGGAAGACGACACTGCATCTGGTCCAGCCAGCCAAAGTCATGTGACCCAAGCTCACCTCCACCACCCCCCCCAACTCCATCCCTGGTTTCAGCCTCTTTCTGAGGAAGGATCTGTCCCAATGTTGATCTGAATGTTCCTGCCAGGCTTCCAGTGAAAATACAGCTCTGCTGACTTCGACAGCTTTGCCATTGTAGCCTCAGGCCACCCCCATGCCAGACTGAGTCAGGATCTGAGGCATGCATGTTCCCTCCCACAGTGAATTCATCCTCTCCCAGGGGTAATACCCCTAGAACCACTGGCTTGGAAGATCAGGTAGGATAGTACCCAATTTATAGATTCACTATTTCATTTTGTGCTGATTACCTTTCTTTATGGATTTCTGAAAACTATCAACAGTCTCTCCATGCTGTATCTTTCAAAAAACTGAGAATTTTTGTAGGTCTTCCTGCCCAAGTGGGTCTGTGAAGAGAGATATGGAAAGGTTTGTGAAAGCCACAGCCTCGACGTGATGCCAAGACCTGGTGGTAGGCTTGTCCCAATTGGTCAGCAAGGCCAGAAGTCCAGAGAATTAGTTGTATGTGGATTGGAGGAAATTTAGGAAAACCTGGGGCACATTAGGCACCTAAGGATTTTCTGTCTCACTGCCCTGACCTTTGGAGGGCACTGGCTTCCTCTTCTGCTCTACTTTAAGGTTAGGGTTAGGGCATGTCATCCAAGGATTCCTCAATTCTCTGGACACCTTTCTTCTAGTAGCTCTAAGCAGGTGAGCTTGCCACATGCCACTGCCCTGGGAGAAGCAGGACCAGTCTGCCAACAACCTGGATTAGGGCACTGAACAGTACTTCTCACCAAGGGAGAAAGAGGAGTACTGGATGCTCAGGATAAGTGTTCATGAAATGATATCTGAGTGGTCTGAGTTTTACAGTTTAGAAAATAAACAAAAAGGAGGTTACAGCAGACTAATGGTTACAATTGCATTGGGTGACAAGAGTGGCACAGATTGTTGATTTGGAAGTGGTCACCTGAGTTATACATGCCAGGTGGCAAGGAAGAAAATGTTTCACTAGGGTTATTACCTCTATGGTATCAGGGAGTCCAGTGAAACCTGTCACGATGAGTCAGAAAGAACTAGATGACTGTAGTCTCCTGCCTTGTGCCCGCTTCCCACTCCCACTGGAGAATTTTGTGACTTCATGTGTGATGGCAAAACCAGGTCTGGTTGTAAAATGAAACTTTAAGAATCTTATGAAAAACTGGTGCCAGGGGAAAGGATTAGCTCCCCTCCCCTTCTGTCAGCCTTTCTTCAAGAAACCTAATTAACCATAGGTCCGACATAGGGGTCTGACTACTTCCCTTTGAAGTGTAAATATCCCTGTTCCAGGCTTCAGACACAAGACTACAGACCAGTGAAAAGAGCCAGTTTTTCTCCTTACAGCACTCTGGCTTCTCACTAGAAAGCCAGCACAAGGCCTTCTATCTCATAGACTATCAATTTTATGACACCAGATAGCCTATAAATGGTGTGACAAACTGGGAATGGGGGTTCAGAATTTGATCTCCTCTGGACCCACTGGCATAAAATAAACTTTGAGTTCTCCCATTCTCTAAGTGCCGTTTGTAGCTTCTTGACCCCTCTGCTTCCTGCAACACCTTTGTGACATTTTGAATCTCTTCTCAAGGACAGCCAGTCATCAGTACCTCTGCATTAGGTGAGGCACATATTTGTATAAATCAAAATTCTATATTCAATTCCTTATACTAATCCTGTCTTGTCTCTGTTCTCCTCACCAAATTCAAACTGATACACAGGTGAACCACAACCACTACTGCCACCACGTCTACCCATTTATTATTCTTGAGAAAATGGAACTGTGAGAAATAAATCTGCTTCTAATGTAGAATCCCATCAGTAGGGTTTAGAGCTGTTATTATTGTCATTATATTCATTTCCATAAAGATATTCTGGGAAGCAACTCAATTTCTTTGCCTATCTGGAGGCCAGGAAAGATAGGTACCAACATAGTTGCATAAGCAATAAATAACTGAGTGTAAACCACGTTAATTATTCTTAAGGAAATTTCTGGATTGTGATATTATTTAACCTTGGGGAAAAGGATTTTAAGGAAAATAATTGGTATTATTTTGTTGTTGTTGTTCATAACAACCAATTAAACAGCAACACAGAGCAAACTTCAGTTTAAATCTGGATGACACTTAGGGAAAACTTAAATGTAGTGTTTTAAGTTACTCTAGCCTGTACAAAGACATTATATAATACCAGAATTCAGCCCCCTATATTCACAGACCCTAAGGGACTGATACCTCTTTGTTGTGGTCTAGATTTTTGTATATTTTATCTCTGTTCCTCCTTTTTTATGTACCAGAGATTGAACCCAGGGTGCTTAACCACTGAGCAACATCCCCAGCCCATTTTATTTTGCAACAGGGTCTTGCTGAGTTGCTGAGGCTGGCCTTGAACTTGTGATTTTCCGCCTCAGCCTCCCAAACTGCTGGTATTACAGGCATGTGACACTGTGCCTGGCTTTCCCACCTTATTATTTGAGCCATCTTTTTCAGAACCAATTTTATATATATATATATATATATATATATATATATATATATATATATATATAGAGAGAGAGAGAGAGAGAGAGAGAGAGAGAGAGAGTAGTGCTATACATGGAACCCAGAGACTTGTGTATGTATGCTAGGAACATTCTCTACCACTGAGAAATGCCCCAGTTCCCCAAAGTCATGCAATTTTATGCAGAAAATATTTTCAAAATTATGTTAAATGGGATGGCACTCTCTGGGATTGTTTTTCTGTTTAGTCTAAATCAAATGTTGTGGAAGTCTGGAGTCATTTCAGGATCTTTCACTGTTTTCAGTGTGGCCTAAATATTTTGTTTAGTTCTTTTGTATCTTTTGGTTCTGAAGAAATTAAACACACCTGGCACTATACTATAGACATTTACTAAAAGGATTCAGGTATTATTTCTTAATATGTTTACAACATAAAAATTTCTTTTGTTCTGTACACTAGGCTTAAATGTCATAAGAAGAAACTACATCCAGGAAGAACTTCTAAAACAAGACATTCATCATATTATTCTTAAATTTTATTAATGTCTTCAGTTTGTGCATCATTTACAATGAGACATGTACATCAAAAAGCATTCTCATACATAAATAGACCAAAAAAACAAATTTAAGTAATCAATCTCTAAAACATGCCCATCTATTTTGTTCAGGTGTGTATGAGAAAGGGAAATAAGTTTTAAGCCTTTTTCTTTGGATCAAAAGCATCTGGATATTATTCAGGAATGCCAAATGTTTTTCTGAAACAAATGTATTTTTCAAAAGTAAATGGTGATGCAATTAAAAGGCATTAGTGTTTATAAAGACTGGAAAAACATTTGTGGTGTGCATGATCAACAAGAAAATAGATGCAGTGAACCTAAGGTACATGTCAAATAAATGAATTAGGTAGCATGAATTGAATGGTACAGATGGAATAAAACTTACCATAAGGAACTCATATATATTCAAGGCACATGACTAGGCTAAACAGGTGGCTAGATTCTATAGACTAATTTGTTCTTTAATTGGGAAAGGAGAAAAGTAAAATATAACTTCATTTAATGGCACTTATTTATATATAAATGCAGTTAGATCTGGGTTAGCAAATGGCTTCCTTTCAGATACACACCAACCACGAGATAACAGATGTCAGAGTAGCTGAAGCAGTATGATTACATCCCAATTTTTGTGCAATGCAGTAAATGGATGTTAAACTGCTATGTGTTGTGTCTATACATCATACTGTCTATATTCAGGTTTCACAAAAGAATTCTTCAACATTAGGCAGATTAAAGGATTTAGTAAACCATAAAGGATGCTCAAACTATTACTCAACAAGAGTCAATTCCAAACTCTGGAGTTGAATGCTGACTGTATTCAGTTTGGGCTTTTCTCAGAATGGAAAAAACTTCCCAAACTACCCCACTTTCTATAGCTAAAATGCTAGCATACCTACTATGATTCCCTTGTTTTTCTTTGGTGAGTCACAGGAATTTGCCTCCCACCCCTCCATTACCCATTCTATTAACAATAGGATTGCTATATAATATTCAAAGAAAAGGAATATATAAAAACAATAAGCTTTAACAATATTTAAACCATAATCTTCTCCAATCAACTACAACAGGAAAACAGAAGATAATAAGCTAATCACTGTATTGTAAATGATTAGTGCCCTTAACTTTATTCCTGAAAGTGAATACTAGGAGGACAAGAATAATCTGTGTGCTTCTAGTGGGCTAGCAAAATGTTCCCCATCTGATTGAAATAAATATGTATAATACTTTACCCATCTGGGCTCCTGAAAATAAGCAGCACCGACAATTTAATTACAATTCCCCAAATAACGACCATTCTTCATTTATATTGTTTTGAAGCACCTAAAACTCTTCAATAACAAAATACATTAAGATGAATGGTGAGCAATATTATTTGTCTCTTGAATACTTTTACGTGCACATACAAAGCTCCTCTATAGTTTTAGTAGACATCTCTTAAAACGGGTGGTATCCACCTTGGCAATAGCTTTGTGCAATTAAAACTAAAAATGGTTTTCAAAGTAGGTAACACTAGTTAACAAACCAAAGAAACAAACCAAAGCATTTTTAAGGCTACTGCTGTAATGACTGGTTTAATCTGAAGTTCATTGGAATAAATTGGTTGATAGGACAAAGATAAATCTGGAGACATAGACTAAGATTAAAAAAAGCATCAATGAAAAGAGGGCTGAAGAGACTAGCAGACACTTTCTGCCAGTAATGAAAGGCTTGGGTCACATGGATTATTTTTAACTCCTTTTTCTCTTGTATCCTTGGTCAATGATAATTTTTTCTTTCTTATTTCTTCACACAGCTTGGCCATGTAAATCCACCACAGAGAGGTGACACAATAATATAGATGAACACCTGGAAGAGCAAGGCCATTTTATTTTCTTGAATCTATCATATATGCCTAAATAATACATAAGGGTTAGTAAAGCTCTTTTAAAGAGACATTTCTGATTCCATTATAGAAGTGGTTATGTACGAATATGACAAATTAACAAATTATTTTCAAAGACAGGAGCAAGTCACAATTATCCTTTCTGATATAACTTGTCCACTTGATTTCACTATGCTTTCTTCAGTGACAGAAAAAACATGGGGGGTTATTGATCTTCATTGGTAACTAGGCAGAATGAAGGCTATGTGAGTAGCCCTTACTGATGCATCATTAATGCATTATAAAAATCACAACCACTATTTCCTTGAAGTATGATTTTACTATTGATTATATTTTTAGATTTTATATATGAATTTGATTTTATTATTAGGATAGGAATATATGAAAAAGAAATAAAAAGTAATAAACAATATATTTCATGCCTCAACTATATAAACTGAACAAAATTATTGCTATGAACGTTTCAGTGGATAATGACATAATAATTATGATTACCAAATCAAAGAAAAGTTAATGGTGAAACACTGCAAAATGCTGGCTCTATTATGAATATGTTAGCTTTTTTAATTCTAGTATTATCCTAAAATAATATCTATTTGCTTACATTATTGCATTCTAAACTGTAGACTTATTTTATACATTAGGTTCACTGAATTAAACTTAGTCATTTTATTTTGCTTTACAACTTTTTTTCAGATATTTAAGGGACTACTATCACTACTCACATACTAAGAAAAAATGCATTTAGGAATTACATGTCTCATTCCCCAAAAGTGAGCAAAGCATTTTGCCTTCCCTATATAATACTGATGTGGAGGGGTTAGTTACATAACATTCCAGTTATTAATGAATAGGTTAAACTACATATACATACACACATACATAATACATATTCTACAAAAATTCTCTCAGAAAACATACATATAAATTTGATGTAAAGTTGACCATTTGCCACAGCAAATTATAAGGAATTATAAAGCTGAGGTACAGTATGTTAGATGACAATATCTTTTTACTAAATATTGATAATGCATTTACAGTAGTTATAGATGGACAGAAAGCCTTTTTTGTTTGTTTATTTTTATGTGGTGCTGAGGCTTGAACCCAGTGCCTTGCACGTGCTAGGCAAGCACTTTACCACTGAGCCACAACCCAGCCCCCTCCTTTCTTTTATTTAAAAATATATTTTTTTTTTACTTGTAGATGGACACAGTATCTTTATTTTATTTATTTTTACATGGTGCTGAAGATCAAACCCAGTACTTCACATGTCCAAGGCAAGCACTCCACCACTGAGCCACAACCCCAGCCCTCCTCTTTTCTCTTAAATTAGATCTAACTGGCTAAGGTGCAGAAACCTTAAGTAGAGGTATCAAGGAGAAGTAAAGCAGAGTTGAAGACACCTGCTCACAGATAACTTTGGGCTTCTGAAAGTAACGGGAGGACAGGGAGGAAAGGCAGGTTTTTTGTTTGTTTTGGCACTAAGGATTGAACCCAGGGGCACTTAACCACTGAACCACATCCCCAGACCTTTTTTATATTTTATTTAGAAATAGGTTCTCACTGGGTTGCTTAGGGCCTGGCTAAATTGCTGAGGCTGGCTTTGAACTCATGATCCTCTTGCCCCAGCCTCCCAAGCCAAGGAAAGGCAGTTTTACCTAGCCATGAAATAGCCCAGGGTAAAGCTCCCCTCCCTTCTGCAGTGTCTATCAAATTTTTTTATTCAGTACCTCTACATTTGTTGGGTAGGGGAGGGTGCTGGGAATTGAACCCAGAGCCTCATATATGCTAGGAAACTATTCTGTTACTGAGCTATGCCCCCAGCTCCTCTTTACAATTTTAAACATTACTGAGGATGACAAAGAACTTTTGTTTAGAGGGATTACAAATATCAACATTTACCTTATTATAAATTAAAATTTTAAACATGCATATTTAGTTTTAAAATAGTCAAAAGGTGGGGCTGGAGTTGTGGCTCAGTGGTAGAGTGCTTGCCTGGCATGTGTGAAGTGCTGGTTTGATCTTCAGCACCACATATAAATAAATAAAATAAAATAAAAGATCCATTTACAACTAAAAAAATCTTTTTAAAAAACAGTTAAAAGGCCAAATGTTCTCTCTGATAAGTGGATGCTGGTCCATAATGGGGGCAGGCAAGGGAAGAATGGAGGAACTTTGGATTGGGCAGAGGGGAGTGAGGAGAGGGGTTATGGGGGGGAGATGGTGGAATGAGATGGACATCATTACCCTATGTATGTGTAAGATTGCACTAATGGTGTGACTCTGAATCTTGTACAACCAGAGATATAAAACATTGTGTTCCATTTGGGTACAATAAGTCATATGTATTCTGTTCTCAGGTATAACTAATTACAACAAATAAAAAATAGTGACAATAAACCTCTTAATATAAACAGTAATAATATTTCTATAAAATATATTAACCAGGCATGGTAGCACATGACTGTTAGTGCCAGCACCTGGAAAGCTGAGGAAGGAGAACTGCTTGAGCCTAGAAGTTCAGGACCAGCCTGGGAAGCATAGTAAGACCTGGTCTTAAAAAAAAAATGATTACATTTCTGTGAGGTCAGTTTTATATTACATATAAGAATTCTCAATAGGAAAGAGGGGTTTAAGTTGAGAAAATATTTCATATTGATTTTATGGGAAAGCCACCTTCTAGTGGTCATGTGTTTCACCATTAAAAATGTAGCTCATTTCAGAATATTAATCATTGACAAGGAATTCCAGCACCTAATTCCTTAGAGGCTAAAAACCAAAATCATACACTAAAAGGACAAAAACTTACAATTGATACAATGATAATGATGACTGTTAGCTTGATATTCTTCATACACATGGCTCGTGCAAGATTTCTGCTGGTAGTTTTGAAGGTGACAGACTAGGAAAAAAAGCATATTATTTAAACCTTGGCACTGACTGCATCAATAATATGTAGTAACACCCTACAAATATTTTATTTTCATTAAATGTATTTTAAGTTCTAATGTCCTTTAACCCTCCCCTCCCTTTACAAGATGAGAGTGGCTATTCATGATTACTAGTTTCCAGGAGCAGAACTCTACCAGACCTATGATAAGCAGGCCTATAACTACAGAGGCTTCATCTTTTTTCTTCCCACTGCAGCAATGTACATGATATTGAGCACCAGAAGTAGTTCTTTCCATCTAGCAGAAAAGCTTGTTCCTCTTTAGGTTTCCAAATAGAAAGGCTCCTTCTAAGCCAGTTGGCTGCAAGCATGATGGCACATTCTGCCCACTATACTCTTGGGACTCTGACCCATAAAAATCTGTTTGATCTGCATAGGAAAATATGTATTTACTTGTATGAGGGCCAAAACCCATAGAACTCCATTCCTTTGGTTATCCATTTTTGTTTGCATCATCAATTTCTCAATATCTACTGAACCATTCCCACCAGGACACAAGCAGGGGCTGGAGTTGTGGCTCAGTGGTAGAGCGCTTGCCTAGCACATGTGAGGCCCTGGGTTTGATCCTCAGCACCACATAAAAATAAATAAATAAAATAAAGGTATTGTGTCCATCTACAACTAAAAAATAAATATTAAAAAAGACTCCCTAATAGCCCAAGAATTCCACTCTTGGGTACATACTGAACAGAAATGTATGTGTAACACCAAGAGCCACATGCAAAAATATTTCTAACAACACTACTTTTCACAAGTTAGAAACTACCCAAATGCCCATCAAATGACCAATTCATAAATAAATTGAATAAAATTTTATAAATTTATATAATGCATAAAAATGTATAAATATACAGTGCATAAACTATAAAAATTTATAAACATATAATTGCATAAAATGCATAATGGAATATACCATGTAGTTATTGAAATTAAAGTCCACCACTATATTTATATAATCAACAATGTAAACATCATGAATGAGTCTCAAAAATGTAATTTTTAACATAAGAAGCTTACCAAATACAGTAAATGCTGCAGGGTATTATTCTATGGAGAGAAGTCAGAAGAGTGTTGACCCTTGGAGGGGAGTAGTGACTATGAGGACAGAGGGAACTTAATCTGGGCATTGGTTCCACAGGTATACTCACTTTGTGAAAATACAACAAGGGGTACACTATGGTTGATGTCCTTTTCTACTTATAAACTACACTTCAATAAATTGTTTTCTAAAAATCCACTTTCTTGACCATACATTCATGCCCATCCACCTTCTCTACAAAGTCTCTCTAGTAGAGCAGGTGAGAGGGGCACTAGCCCTCAGGTTTCACTTAATGCAGAATAATAAGATGACACGTGGAAGGACAGACTCAACAGCTAAGGGAGCATATGCTACATATCCAAACAGATTACATCTAGCCCTAAATATACACATTGAATAGAATATATGCATCGACTTGGATATATGAGAAGAATCTACAAAGGAAACAAAGCCAAGCAATCAGAGTAAATGGGCCTCAATGGAAAAAAACTTAATGTAGAAAAGAGAGAATGATAGTAATAAAAATTTATAAGAAGCATCTTCACATATAAAACATCATTACATTGATTTAAGAGTTCATAAGTTAGGGAAGACAAAAAGGGAAAAATTTGATGGTATAATAGTCTAAGATATACATTTTAATAAATATGCATAGTTTTAGAAAATTATAAATAGCAGAAAATAAATGGCTAAAAGCCATTTTTGTGGCAACAACTTGAAAAATTGTCCCAGAACACATAATAAAATGTGTATGATATAAATTATGAAAGATGTAAGTAAGATACTCAGAAAACTGATCAAGCAAATTCAGGATCCATTTACACAAGCAACAGATATTTAACAAGTGCTTACTATCTTCCTGGTACTTTTAGGTACCTACTAGCAGGTGCAGAAGGAGCCAATATAGACAAAAGAGAAGAATCAATAATCAAAGAACCACCAGAAGGAAGTCCCCAAACTAAGAATGACTTGAATCTTTTGATATAACACGTCAGGTATGTGGCAAGAATACTGAAAGAAGGCGCATACTTTCCATCTCCCAGTAACGTTTCAGAACTCCAAGCTTTTATGTTTTACTTTTTATTTTTTTCTGCTTTGAGATATAATTGATAGCTAAAAATTACAGATATTCAAGGAATAATACGTGATGTTTTCATATAGGTAGCGCGCTTGCCTGGCACGAGTGTGGCCCGGATTCGATCCTCAGCACCACATACAAACAAAGATGTTGTGTCCGCTGAAAACTAAAAAATAAATATTAAAAAAATTCTCTCTCTCTCTCTCTCTCTCTCTTTAAAAAAAAGATCTGCTCTCATGGCATATTTGAAATATTCAATAATAAAAATATTACTATTATTTTTTGAGTACTGGGGATTGAACTCAGGGGCACTCAACCACTGAGCCACATCCTCAGCCCTATTTTGAATTTTATTTAGAGACAGGGTCTCACTGAGTTGCTTAGTGTCTTGCTTTTGCTGAGTCTGGCTTTGAACTCATGATCTTGCTGCCTCAGCCTCTGGAGCTGCTGGGATTACAGGCATGCGCCACTGAGACCAGCTCAATATCTTATTAACTATAGTCACTATATTGTACATTAGGTCTCCAGAATTTATTCATCTTATAACTGCAAGTCCATACACTTTGACCAATATCTTTCCATTTTCCCTCTTCCCCCAGCTCCCTGGGAACCAGTGTTCTATGCTCTGCTTCTATGTATCCAACATTTTAGCATTCTTATTTAAATTATTTCATTTAGTATAATGTTCTCTAGATTTATCCATGTTGCTGCAAATGGCAGGATCACCTTTGTCTTTATGGCTGAATAACATTCCAATGTGTGTGTGTGTGTTTGTGTATCACCATTTCTTTATCCATTCATCCACTGGAAGACACTTATCGACTGTTTCCATATTTCGGCTATTATGAATAATGCTGCAATGAGCATGGGTGGAAAGATCTTTTTATTTTTAGTTGGAGATGAACACAATACCTTTATTTTATTTATTTATGTGGTGCTAAGGATCAAACTCAGTGCTTCACATGTGCAAGGCAAGTGCTAAGCTACTACTATTGAGCAACTACCCCAGCCCACAAAGATAGATATTTCTTTGAGGTATTGGTTTTATTTCTTTTGGGTGTAAGACATGCTAAAGACCAATTGCTGGATCATATGGTGGTTCTTGTTTTAGTATTTTGAGGACCCTCCATAATGTTTTCCATATTGGTTATATCAATTTACATTCCTATCAACAGTGTGCAAAGGTTCCTTTTTCTCCAAACCCTCATCAACGCTTGTCCTCTCATCTTTTTGATAACAGTCAACCCAATTGTGTAAGGTGATATCTCCCTGTGGTTTTGATTTGTATTTCCCTGATGATTAGTGATGTTGAACTTCTTTTCATATACCTGTTGGCCATTTATGTCTTCTTTAAACATATATCTATTAGGACCTTTGACAATTTTTTAAGTAGGTTATTTTTTGTTTGCTATTTGAGTAGTGTAAGTTTCTGTGAGTCCTTCTAACAAACTATCAAATGTGAAGGTGGTTTTGGGAACCTCCAGACTAGTAATTAGTATCAGAAGTGAGGGTGGTTTTTGGAACTGTGCCTTTTAAACTGAATAACTGCTTAATTTCTCAGTTTCCTAAACTCTTTGCAATTAGTTACAAAAAAGTATCAACATTTAGAAAATTATAAGGGGAAATTATCTTAATTTTAGATTTCTATACCACTCAAAACATTGTTCAAATATGAACGGGAACAAATTCATTCCTGAAAAGATTTAGATCGTTATGAAGAAAACGTGTCAAGACATCTCAAATAAAAACTAAATCGCAATAAAGACTTCAAGAAAGAGGAAGATAACATGGATTTAAAAAAAAAGTAATAAGCAATGAAACAAATATATCTAAACAGTTTTGTGATTCAATAAATTGGAATGGAGATTCCTTCACAATTCTCAGGTCAACACCTGAATACTGATAGATGTTTAAGATCATGTTAGCTATTAAAAAAAAAAAAAAAAAAACAATTGTCACAACTTACCAAACCTTTCCATGGGACTGTGTATGGGGGTAGGCTGAAGAGAACAAGATATAAAAATTCCTGTGGGAATGACAAAGAAAATCTGAAAAGCTGGATAATTTCTTTAGCAGCTGTAAGGAGACTTGGGGAGCTGCCATACCTCTGTAGTAGACTGGATGATAGCTCCAAAGATATGTCCAGATCACAATCCCTGTGAATGTGACATTATTTGGACTAAGGGTCTTTACAGATGTCAACATTCTTCAGTGAGGAGAGCATCTTGGATTATCCAGATAGGCCCTAAATGCCACCATAAACATCCTTACAGAAAGAAAGTAGGAGGGATTTCACACACACACACACACACACACACACACGAGCTGATATGAACATGGAAGTAGAAACTGCATTAACACAGACAAAAGCTGAGGAATACCAGCAGCCAAGAGAAACCAGAAGAAGAAAGAAACAAATTCTCTTTAAAAGCCTCTGGTATAAGATAAGGGGCAATTTCATTCTTTTGCATGTGAACATCCAGTTTTCCCAACACCATTTATTGAAAAGATTGTCCTTTCTCCAATGCATATTTTTTAGAACCCTGTTGAAAATTAGTTTGCTAGACATATCAGTTTACTTTTAGGCTATTTTATTCCATGGGTTGTATGTTGGTTTTCATCCCAACACTATATTGTTTAGATTGTCACAGCTTTGTAGGATATTTTGAAGTCAGTTTAGTTTTTTTTCCTCAAGATTCTTTGACTGTTTAGGATCCTTTTTAGTTCTACACAGATTTTAGGATTTTTTCTATTCCTGTGAAGAATGTCATTGATATTTGATAGGAACTGTATTGAATCTGTAGATCACTTTAGGATGTTATAATAATATTAATTCTTCCAATCCATTAATTATATAACCTTCTGTTTATTTGTGTCACCTTCAATTTCTTTTACTAATGTTTTAGTTTTTATTGTAGAGATTTTCACCTACTTGGTTAAATCTATTCCTAGGATATTTATTTGTTTTGTAGCTATTATAAATGGATAACTTTCTTGACTTCTTTTTCAGATAGTTCACTATTGGCATATAGAAATGCTATTGATTTTGTATGTTGATTTGTATCCTGCAACTTTACTGAATTTGTTTATTAATTCTAACAGTTTTTGGTGTAATTTTCAGGGATTTCTACATATATATGATCAAGTCAAATGTAAATAGAAATAATTTGACTTCCTACTTTCCAACTTGAATGTTCTTTACTTTTTTCTCTTGCCTAATTCATTGGGCAATGATTTCTTCAATCAATGTTTTATAGTTTTCAACATATAAGTTCTTCATCATCTTGATTAAGTTTATTACTAATTATTTTGTTCTTTTTGGTGTTATTATAAATGGAAAAGATGTGTGCAGTGAAAAATACAAACATTGCTGAACAAAATTAAAGACACTGTAAATAAATGTTCAAGCACTGGAAGACTTTACACCATTAAGGTGATAACAGCACCCAAAATGATCTATAAAGATTCAATGTAATTTCTATGAAATCCCCAAAGCATTTTTTTACAGAAGTATTAAAACATCCCTTCTTAAATTTCATACAGAATGTCAAGGGACCTTGAATGTCAAAACAATCTTGAAAAAGAAGAACAAATTTTGAGGACTTATGCTTCCTGATTTAAAAACTTAGTACCAAGATAATCAAAGCTGTGTGGTACTGGCATAAAAACACACAGATCATGAAACAGAATACAGAATCCAGAAATATAACTTCATATATATGGTCAAATGGTCTTCAGTAAGGGTGTCAGGACCTCTCAAGGGGCAAAGAAGAGTCTCTTCAATAAATACTGTTGCCAAAACCAAATATCCACATGCAAAAGAATGAAGTTCGACCCTTATATAACAAAATTTAACTCAAAATGCATCAAATACCTAAACTTAAGAGCTAAAACTATAAAATTCTTAAGAAAACACAGGACAAAAGCATTATGTCACTGGATTAGGCAATGCTTTCTTGGATGTAACACTGGAAGCACAAAAACTCAAGAAAAAAAATTGTCTAATGAATTTAAAATTTAAGAACTTTTGCACATCAAAGGATAGTAACGTAAGAGAATGAAAAGACAACCCACAGAATCGAAGAAAATATTATCAAAGCATATACTGATAAGGGGTTAATACCCAGATTATATTTAAAAAACACTCCTGAAACTCAATAATTTAAAAAAAAAAACCCTATTTAAAAATGGTCAGATGATTGAATTATTTTTTTCTAAAGAAGATAGATAAATGGACAATAAGCACATGGAAAAAATATTCAACATCATTAGCTGTATTACATATCTAATTTTTTTACATGTTATGATATCCTAACATCTTAAAAAAATATTCTGGCCAAGGAGAGAGTACCTCTCTTAGGGGCAGCTAATTCTCAGAGATAGCAAAGGGCCCAGAAAGGAGCATGTGTTTGATATGCAAATTGATCAATCCAGAGCTGTATCTCCTTTTTCTGGCTCAGGCACTTCAAGAGTCAATATCCTTTTGTCTTATCATCTCAGGGCCAGATACCAGGTAACTATAGACCACCCTGATAACTTAAGAGTCCACTGAGGTGCTGGGGTTATAGCTCAGCAGTAGAGCACTTGCCTTGCACATGTGAGGCACTGGGTTTGATCCTCAGTACCATATAAAAATACATAAAACAAAAAGATATTGTGTCCATCTTTAAAAAATATTTTTAAAAGAGTCCACTGAAATTATATAAGATAGTCAATCTTAAACTGTTTTACTCTGTTCTATCTTGCCTTTCCTGCAGAAGCCACAATAAAAGCTTTAGTATTGAATTTTCCCTTTCTCCTGGTCCTTCGGCTTTCTAAACACCCTGGTGTTTTCCTGTAACCCCATGTGGCATGTGATGACTCTATCTCTGGGACCTAAAAGCATAATAAATTTCTTTCTTCCAAGACTCATTCTCATCTCCTCCACTGGCCCAATAGCTTTACCATACCATAGCAAATGTGTATGTTCTTAAAATATTGGAAAATACAAAATAATAAGATACTACTTCATATCCACTAGGATGACTATAATATAAAGGTGGAAAGTAAGTGCTTGCAAAGAGTAGAGAAACTGATACCCTCACACATTGCTGATGGGAATGCAAAATGGTGCAGCTGCTACGGAAAAGTTTAGTGGTTCCTCAAAAAGCAAAACATAGAATCACTATATTACTCAGCAATTTCATTCCTAGGTATAGACCCAAAGGAACTGAAAGCAGAATTCAAATAGATATCTGTACACCAATGTTCACTACAAATTATTCATAATAGTTAAAAGGTGAAACATCCCAAGTGTCTATCTATATATGAATAGATAACAAATGTAGTATATAATACAATATATGGAATATTATTTAGCCATAAAAAGGAATAAAGTTCTGATACAAGCTACAATAAGGATAAACCTTGAAAATATCATGCTCAGTTAAACAAGCCTGACACAAAAGAACAAATATTACTAATTCTACTTACACGAGATACCTAGAACAGGCAAATTCACAGACAAAGTTGATACGAAATATTAACTATGGGAATTGGGAATTTTTGCTCAGAGGTCCCAAGTTTCTGTTCAGGGTGATAAATTCCTTTGGAAAAAGTATCAATGGTTGGAACACACTGTAGGTGTATCAATGTCACTAAATTTTACACTTAAAAAATGGTCAAAATTGCAAAATTTATGCTATACATTTGCAACAATTTAAAAAACTGGTAATGCAATTTATCAAAAATCACTGAAATATGCAACTTAAATGGTTTATTTATATGGTCTGAGCTCACTTCTCAATAAAAGTGTTAAAATAACCAGTAGAAATGATAAAAGAACAAAAAAAAGTAATCAAAAGAAGATGGAGGAAATAAAAAACAAAGAGCAAGATGGCTCACTTAAACCCAATTTAATCAATTTTATATTACATGTAAGAGGAATAAATAATAGATTTCACATATTCAAGAAGGTAGAGGAAAACATACACATGTGAGGGAGACACATAAAAGATTCAAACCGAACTAGTAGAAATGAAAAATATACAGGATGGGATTAATAGCAAATTAAAAACTACAGAAGAAAAGAAAATTTGGACATAGCATTAGAAGCTATCCTAAATAAAACAGAGAGAAAAAGACTGAAGAAAATGAACAGAGCATCATGAGTTGTGGGCGAACTTCAAGTTTAACTGACGTCCCAAAATGGAGCTAAACTGATCTACTTCAAGGTGTTATGGTTTAGATATAAGGTGTCCTCCAAAAGTTCATGTGAGAGACAATGCAAGATTTTTCCGAGATAAAATGATCAGATTATGAGATGTTTTTAACCTAATCAGTACATTAATCCACCCATATAAATGAATTAATTGGGCAGTAGGTAATATAGGTATGCAGGATGTGGCTGGAGGAGGTGGTCACTGGGCTGTGTCTTTGGGGTTTATATATTGTCCCTGGTGAGCAAAGCTCTCTCTACTTCCTGGTGCCATGTCCTGAGCTGTTTTCCTCTTCCATGTCCTCCTGCCAAAGCTATGGAGTCATCTGTCTATAGTCTAAGATCTCTGAAACCATGAGCCAAAATAAACTTGTCCTTCTCTACACTCTGTTCTTGTCAGGTCTTTTGGTCATAGCAGTGAAAAAGCTGACCAAAACACAATCTGCAAAATTGTGCTCTGCGTTTAAATTTGTAATTATGTTACCCAATTGTAATTGATCTCTGCCACACATCTGTTCACCATATATCTATCAACTTTTTCCAAATGTTGATTCATTTAACCACATAGAAAATGTGAAGACATATGTAACTAGTATAAGTAGGTCACAAGGACACACTATCTTACCATCTTCTTTAAGGCTTACCTCCTCTTTCCAACCCATTCCTTTGGCTTTATACAAGGAAAGATGAAACTATAAAAAAATGTGAATTATCCAGTTTTCAGGACTCATACTGGGTCACAAATGGTGTATACATTTATTTGTTTCATATTTTACAGATTTGTAGAGAAAAAAGACTAGTACATAATGTTGAGGTTGTGAATTATGTAGGCATCATCTTCCAAACCAAAGCTTACTTAATGGCTACTAATACATGGTGGCTTTTTTTTTTTTGCTATGCCTCACTGTTATCCTCCTTACCACAATATAATCACATAATGGAAATAAGAAAGGAGAATAACCAGAATATTGAATTTAAGACATTTCTCAATTAATTAGCTATCATTTGCAGTTTCTCTAATTTATATCCTGAAAAATATTATCACATTCCATACTTACTGAATCCACGAGATTTTCTGTTTTATCTATCAATAATTCCAATCTTTCTCCACGCTGAGCTACTAGATCTGAAAATATGAGAAAAAAAGAAAAAAATGTTTTATATTAAAAATATGCAATTTTTGTTTTTGTTTTTTTTGGAGGGAAGGGGGGTATCCGGAATTGAATTCAGGGGCACTCAACCACTGAGCCGCATCCCCAGCCCTATTTTGTATTTTCTTTAGAGACAGGGTCTCACTGAGCTGCTTAACACCTCACTAAGTTGCTGAGGCTGACTTTGAACTCACGATCCTCCTGCCTCAGCCTCCAGAGCCCCTAGGATTACAGGTATGCACCACCATGCCTGGCTTTGTGTTTGTTTAATTGAAATTTTATTTTAATTTAGATGGTATTCTTGACAGCTCATATTTATAACAGAAGTGCTTACACCTTTAAGTAATAAAAGAAATTTGTTTTGTTCTGCCATGTCATCCTGGCATGATATGCTACCCTTATCAGAGGCCCAAAGCAATGGGACTACTTGATCTTGGACTGATACCTTAAGAACCATGGGCCAAAATAAATCTTTCTTCCTAATAAATTAAAAAATATTTTAGTAAAGCTCATCAAATAAAGTAGGGGTTGACATTTTTTTTTCCTGTAAAGGGCCAGTTACTAAATATTTTAGGCTTTGTGTGCCATACATTCTCTATTGCAATTACTTTCACTATGCCAGAAATAGAAAATATGTAAATGAATTGTTATAACTGTATTCCAATGAAATTTTATGTAGAACAACAGGCAGTAGACCAGACTTGACCCAAGAACTATAGTTTGTAAATCCCTCTCTTCCAGTGTCTCTTTCAGCGACACAGAAGCTCTCTTCTTGGTAAGTACAGCTTGGGGACTCCCTTTTTCCCACAGGTCCCAGTCAAGAGCTATTCCCTTTTCCAAGGAAAGGCAGGTTACCATCCTTTATCATTCCACTCTCTGCTCAATTCTGTGCTGCAGAAGCTCAGTTATGGGGAGGAAGAGCTAATAGGTTTGGGGTTCCTTTCCTCTACTTAGCCTTTACCCATAGGACAGAAGCTAAACTATGGGCCAGCTAAAAATTTAACAGAGAAACACAGAAAAGGCAACTAACAGGAGCCCTCCTAGGATCAGAACAAGCCTCCAAAACTGCCCCTCAAATGGAACCCACATCTAATTATATCAGATTGGAGCAATTTACCTCTGGGGCACTATCAAAAGCAACAAACAAAAAAGCATGACCCATACATAGGAAAAAGAACATGGAAGAGAAAAATGACTGAGGAATACAGCTGCTGAAAGTAGCAAAAACTTCAAAGTACCCACAATACACATATTCTGTGAACTAAAGGAAACCATGCTTACAGAAGTCAAGGGAAGATATGATGACAACGTCTCATTAAATAAAGCAATAGAGTTAAAATTAATTTTGAAAGGACCAAGTAGAAATTGAGCACTATAAAATAAATGAAAAATTTACTTGAGGAAATGAGCAGTAGATTGGAGCAGAGAGAAGAATCAGCAAACTTGAAGATAGGTCAACTTAGAGTATCTCTTATGAAGATACAAAAAGAATGAAGAAAAATAAACAGAGCCTCAGAGAAATGTTGGACACCAAAAATGCACCAACATATGAGTAATGGGAATACCATTGGAAGTGGAGCTAGAGAAAGGAGAAAAATATTTGAAGAAATATTAGTGAAATCCCAAATTTGATGAAAAACATTAATTTACACATCTAAAGAATTAAAAAAAAATTACAATAAGGAGAAACAGAGAGTTCCACAACTGAATACACCCTAGCTAAAACAAAGACAAGAAAAATATCTCTCTCTTTTTTTTTTTTTTTTTTTGGTACGGGGGATTGAACTTAGGTACAGTTGACCACTGAACCACATCCTCAGCCCTATTTTGTATTTTATTTAGAGACAGGGTCTCACTGAGTTGCATAGCACCTCGCCATTGCTGAGGCTGGCTTTGAACTGTTGATACTCCTGTTTTAGCCTCCTGAGCCACTGGGATTACAGACTTGTGCCATCACACCCAGCAAGACAAGGAAAATCTCAAAAGTAGCAAATAAAAGCAATTTATCACACACGTGAGAAAACCAGTAAAAGATGACTTCTCATCAGAAACAATGGAAGCCAGAAGGTAGTGAGATGACATTCTAAGTGACGAAAGAAAAAAAAAAATTTCAACCAAGAATCATCTATTAAATAAAATGATCTTTTAAAAATGAAGGTGAGGGGCTGGGGTTGTTCTCAGTGGTAGAGTGCTCACCTAGCATGTATGAGCGCTCGCCTAGTACTGGGTTTGATCCTCAGCACCACATAAAGATAAATAGTACACGAAGGTATACAAAAAAATGAAGGTAAGCTGGGCATGGTGGCACATGCCTGTGATCCCAGCAGCTCGGGAGGCTGAGACAGGAGAATCATGAGTTCAAACCCAGCCTCAGCAACAGTGAGGTGCTAAGCAACTCAGACCCTGTCTCTAAATAAAATACAAAATAGGGCTGGGGATGTGGCTTAGTGGTTGAGTGCCCCTGAGTTCAATTCCTGGTACAAAAAAGAAATGAAGACCAAGAAAAAACATTCAAGCTAAGAATGTGTCACTAGCAGAATTGTGTTATAAATAAAGAGGGGCCAGGGTTGTAGCTCAATGGTAAAGTGCTTGCCTACCATGTGTGAGGTGCTGGGTTAGATCCTCAACACCACATAAAAATAAATAAATAAAAATAAAAACAAAATTTTAAAAAAAGAAATAATAAAGAAAAAATTTCAGGCTAAAACCAGAATGCCAAACTGTAATCTAAATCTACACATACACACACATAAAGATAAGATAATTATGTACAAATGTTTGTATAAAACAATATATGTATTATTTTACTGTTGGTCATATGCCATACAGGGATATAATAAATTTTAAAATAAAAGTATAAAGGAGATGAATACAAAAGTGTATTGAAGCAAGGAAATAATAGATGATAGTAATTCAAATCCCTGGAAAAAATGAAAACAACCAGAAATTGTAAGGTTTATAAAATAAATTTACTGAGTTTGTTACATATATGGACATATTATATGCTGAAATAATAGCACAAAAAGGGGGAAGAATGAATAAATTGTGTAAGAGTAACATTTACATATATCATTGGAATTATATTTATATAAATCTGAAGTCAATTATGGTAAGTAAATATGTATAACATAAGCTCTGGAGAAAATACATATATAGTGAAAAATATATATAGGACTTAAAACTCAGAAAATAGTCACTGAATTCAAAAGAATACAGTAATATAAAACCAGAAATAAATAAATAATACATAATTTATCTAGAAATTAGAAAATAAAATAGCAGACATAAATCCATATATGTCAGTTAGGGGTGGTGGTGCAGTCCCTGGATATGGTGATACATGCTTGCAGTCCCAGCTACTTAGGCACCAGAGGGAGGATCTACTCTGTCTCAAAACAAAAAATTCTTACCACATTATATAACACTAAATATCAAATGATGAAACAACATAATAAATGATATTGTTAGACTGAATAAATTAAATCCAACTGTATGCTCTTTACAAGAGATACACTTTAGATTCAAAGATACAAATAAGCTGATAAAAGCAACCAGAAGAGAGCACACAGAAAACAAAGTATATTTTAAAACAAAAGCCCATCAGTAGAGATAAAAAGGACAGTCTTTAAAGATAAAAGGGCCAACTGATGAGTCTATAGCTAATTATGAACATAATAAATGCACCTAAAAAGAGAGACTGAAAATATATGAAGCAAAAACTGACAAAATTAAAAAGAAAGACAATTCAACAATAATAGTTGGAAAGTTTGGTATAAAATTTCAATAATGGCTAGAAAAACTAGGCAACAGATAAACAGAAATTAGAAGACTTGAACAATACAATAAATCAACTAAACACAAAACACACATACAGAGCATTCTACCAGCAATAATACAGTAACATTTTTTCTCAAGTGCTTATAGAATATTCCATTGGTAGACAATATATTTGGTCATAAAATGACCCGCAATAAATTTAAATGATCCTCTATAACTACAAAGGAACACAATTAGAAATCAGTAACAAAAAGCAACTTGGGAAATTCAAAAATATATAAAAATTAAACATCCAATCCTAAATAACCAAATGGTCAAAGAAGAAATCACAAGGGAAATTAGAAAATATTTTGACATGAATGAAAGTATAAAACAACATACTAAGACTGTTGGGAAGAAGTGAAAGTAGTGTATGGAGGGAAGTTTATAGCAGAGTACACCTAGATTAAAGAGAAGAAATTTGCTATAGTATTTGGAAATATAACCTTTGGAAGATAATTAAATTTAGATGAGATTGCAGAGGATACATTGCTGTCATGATAGAACTAATTCTCTTATAAGAAGAGACATCAAAGAGCAAGCTCTCTTTCTCCTTGTCATGTGAGGACACAGGGAAAAGCTGCTGTCTGTAAGTCAGGAAAAGAGCCCTCACCAGAATGTGACCATGCTGGTAACCTGATCATGGATTTCTAGCCTCTAGATATGTGAGAAAAAAAATTCTATTGCTTAAGTAACCCAGTCTGCAGTATTCTGTTATGGTGACCCAAGCTAAAACAAATTAATCTCAAGTCAATAACCGAATTTTTCACTCTATAAGACTTCATAAAGAAACACTAACTAAATCCAAAACTAGCAGTGGTAAAGAAACAAAGATTAGAGCAGAAAAATTAGGGAAGATATATATATATATATATATATAAACAACAATGAAACCAGAAGTTGGTTCTTTGAAAAGTTCAGCAAAATTGACAAAGATTTATACAGAATGACCTAGAAGATGAGAGGGAAGACTCAACTATCACTAAAATCAGGACTAAAAGAAGAGGCAAATCACCATCAATCTTAGAGAAATGGAAAGAATCCTATGGGAATGCTATTAACAAAATTTTGTCAACAAATTAGATAAGTTAGAAATGGCCAAATTCCTAGAAAGATACAAAACACTGAAACAGACTCAAGAATGAATAGAAGGGGCTGC